GATGTTAGCTAGATCATAAGCCATGTTTTGGCGCGACTAGGATAAATAAACTTAGATTGAATTCGGACACCCTTTCTTACGTTCCAAGGAATTATCTTATCTACCACGATACCTTTCTTTGGCCCGACCGGGGTCAAAGTTTCTCCTCATCACTTCCATCATGGGGTCTTCACCCCCTCTCGTTCCGCAACCTCCTACCCAGCCTGACGGGGCCTCACAGTTTGGTGGGCAGGGTCGCTTATCACCAATCTTTCGGCCTCAGGGCCCCCCCTCGCTTAAACGACCACTCAGTGGTACGACCTCAACTATATGAGTACCAGACGCCTATGAAGGTGTTAATGGCATCTTCTTGAAGATGTTTGATGATTTGACAGTGGCAGCCGGGATTGAGGAACCTCTCACCTTTGGAAAAGCCTTTCCCGTTATACTCCACATGATGCAAATTTTGCACGAAGACTACAGGAAGGCGACTGATGGACTAACCGAGCACATCACCACCCTTACTGAGGAACTGGATGACCTTCGCGCCTCCACTCTCTCTCAGCCTGCTCAAACCACTGCCCCACCGGCACCTCCTACCACCCACACTACAGAGCAGCCCTCTGTTCCTCCCCTACCTCCTGCACTTCCTACTCTACCTCCTGGCCCAGCAGTCCCCTCCTCTTGGGCTACCGTCACCAGGAGGGCAAGGAAGCCCCCTCAGAAACCCACGAAGCCTGGCCCAAAGCCAGCCAAATCCTCATCTACCTCGGCTAAGCCCCTTACTGAAAAGAAAAAGGGCCTCACTATGTGCGAGCGTCGGCTTATCATTAAACGAGACGCTTCCCCCATCACCATCACTCCTGTGCAGCTACGCGACAGCATCAACCAGGCTTTGGCCTCTACTCTTATCCAGTCTGTCTCCTTCTGGGATGGGCACGTTACTCTCACTACTATGGATACGGTTAGAGCCACAGCTGTCAACAGCAAAGTTGGCACCTTCTTGCACCTCATTCCTGGTGCCTCCACCGTCCACCTCGACACCCCTGCTACCCAGCTTCTAGTACATGGCATCGCTACCTCTACCTCTTTGGCGTCGCTTGCCCAAGAACTCACTACCTTTAACTTAGGCTTATCTCTTACTGAACAGCCTAGGTGGCTCACCTCAGATTTAGCACGTGTCGGCAAACTCGCCTCAACTGTTGTTATCTCCATCACTGGGCCCAAGGCTCCTTCTTTTGTGGGCAAACGCCTCTCTGCCTTTTCCAACACCTACCATACCGAGTGCCGTCTACGCTTTAACAAATACACCCAGTGTGCCAACTGTCACAGGTTTGGACACCACAGCATCAAATGCATCTTGCCAGCCTCCTGCCGCTGGTGCCTCCTCCCGCACTCTACTGGGGATCACTCCTGCCCCACCGCTACCTGTCGCCTTCGCGGCCGTCCCTGCAGCCATACCACACTCAGGTGTGTGAACTGTGATGGCCCACACGAATCACACTCACCTGTCTGCCCTTCACGCCCCCGTCCAGATACCCAAGAATCTGTGGCTTCGGAGGAACATGAGGAAGAGGTGGACATGGACGATTCAACATAGGTTGGGATACTTATGACAATGATGCCCTAGAAATGTCTTGGGTTAGTTATTACGGTGCAAGGGGTGGGCTGTTAAGGCCTGCCTCGACTGATTGCTTAGGGGAAACTGGCTTCGTACCGCCCCTTTGTCATGGCCCTACTAAGGGACAGTACTGGAACACTTTCTTGGGTGCCGGGTGGGGTTGATGGTGGTGGATTTTATTTGTTATGATGTTATGAGGAATGTTGGTGCGAGACCGGAGTAATACTACCGGTGGTAGTGATTTTTTGATTGTGCTGAGATTCCCGTGGCCTGGCTAGGTGGGACGGGTGGGTGCTAGGACTGTTGATGGACTTGTACTTAGCTTTCGTGTGTTGCTTGCTCGCGGAAGTGTTGGCTTGTGGAGTTGCTTTGGTGTCTCTAATGGGTCAGGATGGTTTGGGTTCAGAGGTTTTGGTATCTTGTATTTAGTTGCCTGTTTTTAGCGGGGGTAGCAGGACCCCAGTCCCATCGGTGGATCCCGGCCGGCGTTAAGCTCCTGTCGGGGGGGCGCTCAATCATAAGCCACGTTTTGGCGCGACGAGTATAAATAAACTTAGATATTATTT